AAAACTCTTGAGTCATTTTTGAGCGAGATGCTAACGATCTAATCAGATTCAATGATCTATGCTAAGCTACAGCTAAAAGTGCTACCGCCAGACCCGGAGATCGGCTGAATGGATTCGAAAACGGTAAAACTCAACTGTTTAACTCTAGGGGAGTTGGAAAATTAGCCTATTTTCAAAAATAGTGGAGTGTTCCTTTAAGTTGTTCTTTTGTGTTATTAGTCACAGTATTTCAAGTAGTATCAACAATAATTAGATGAGTGAAAAAGGCTATGAGTTTGTTCATTTCTGTTCATTTCTGCCATACGATATGACTATTATCACTGCAGTCATCCATTCAGTGAAAAGAGATAAAATAAAATGGATGAGTGGTAAAGTGGATGAGTGCTCCAAGTGTCTGGTGCCAACTGCTGTCTAAGTTACGGTGTGAGGTTGGCTTGTTGTGAGAATTGCTTTGTTTCCTGAGAGAAATGCTGAGAGATTGCTTTGTTTTCCATTACACAATTAACTTTATAAGAAAGAAAATTCACTAATCAAACTTAAGAGATTTCAATGTGAACACAAACCCTTCTCATCAGATTTCTCCAAAACCAAGTTATCAGAGCTTTCTCTTCCGTATTTATTTTAGATGCTTACCGTACAGTTGTCCCTTTTGTATTTTTTTCAATATATTTTAGGACATCTAATACCAGGATGATGCCTTGACAAAACAGGACTATGAAAAAGCAGTCTAATAAAGGCCAATTCACACTGCAACGACAGACACCAACCAATGCAGACAATCACTAAATTACAGTATGTCACACTTTAGACATTCCACGACCTGACAAACACTAATTTAGCATGTTCAATCAGTGAAATCAAGCTCCAACAGGGGTTACACACTGATCAGACAAAACCAAACAAAGTGTCTATTGCTGTCTGTCGGCGTTTGTTGTTGCTGTGTGAATTTACCTTTAAACAAAATGTTTGAAATTAAATTTCTTCTCTGCAAATACATAAAATGGAGCATTGATCTATAAAGTCCTCCTGCAGTCACTAATTTTATCCCTTAAAACTCATCTTCGATAATCAAAATGACATATTTAAAAGTGTTTCCCATGAAAATAATTTCTTTAAAATGGCTTGAATATATCTCAGTACCCTTACCTCATCGGTAAACCGAAGTAAACACTACACAATGGCAAGTGGCAATATTGGATTGATTCAGCCATATATATGTTTGAGCCAGAAGAAGAAGAGGAAGAGTGAATTATGCAGTGTCGCCTACAAGTTGATGTATCAGAATGATAATACATTTTATGTATTGCTCTCTACAATATTGAATGCACAGCAGTAATTGATATCATTAGCCTTTGGCTTAACTATGTTATCAAACAGCTAGTAACAATAGTGACAATAGAAAATGGGCTGTTTCAAATTGCATTTTTGAGAGTGTAGAGATTTTTGAGACTCTCCAGTTTTAAAGGGGTCATCGGATGCCCATTTTCCATAAGTTGATATGATTCTTTAGGGTCTTAATGAAAAGTCTTTAACATAGTTTGGTTAAAATTTCTCAATGGTAGTAGTGTAAAAAACACCCTTTTTACCCTGTCAAAAACAGCTCTTTTCAGAGCAAGCCGTTTTGTAGCATTTTCCTTTAAATGTTAATGAGTTCTGCTTGCCCCGCCCCTCTCTTTCGAGCCGCTCTCTGAGGGACTGTTTACTTTAGCCGCATTCATCGTGAAACTTGCTAATTAGCACATTATTAGGAAAGGCGATTTGCAAAGATTCATTAAAAAACCTTATACTCACTTCTTCTGTAGGTGAAGCTGGATCATAGACACATTTAGGTAGATTGGGGGTGCATTCCCTTCAAAAACAAACGTAATCCACAGCGACTTCAGCGGCTCAGATGTCGGGAGTAAATTATGACTGCTATGTTCATTATTACATCCAACAATAGAACACCTCAATCGCTTAGGAGCATGGGCATCAGAACCATTGTATGTGGGTGGGACAAGACCCACCCACTTTTTAAGACCAATGATATTGGACCCACTCACTTTTACTGTCACTAATTCAGCGCATATGTTTGTTCACTTTTCAGAGCGCCGTCAGTCAAATCCATTCCACTTGAGGAATGCCCTGATAAATTAAACTCCATTCCGTGTTTTAGCTACAGCCTTGACCTCCACGCTGCTGCTTCCTCAAATCCATTCCGCTTGGCTCATTCAGAGTCCATATAAATTAAACTCCATTCCATGTTTTCATTACTTGCGCTTACTGCACTCCCGCTACACAGCAAGATAAACAAAGCATCGTAGCATATCTGCCGCTCAGGTGGGTCTGGCTGTGTGCTCACATAGGCTACTGCCACTAAACAAGCTGCTATTTAACTGAATGTTCATCATTTGTTCGCTTGCTGCTTTTAAAGGCATCATATAGTCTTTGATGCAGCATAGTTGGTTGGACCCACCCACATTTTTGTTGCTTCCGACGCCCATGCAGGAGTCATTCTTGTCTACATCAGCTCCGGTGGTGAAACACTGGCGGACTGATGACAGCTCACTCAGTGCGGGTCTAAGGTAACTAAGACACCAGTCCAGTCTGTGCTGAAACGCTACTGTCAATCAAACTATTGTGGGAGGGGTCTGTTTTTGTGACGTCACACAGACAGGCATCTGAGATCGGCTCGATTTGAGAAAAGGGGTAAAGATTTTAGTAGATTAAAAAAAACCACTGGGTGGATTTTTATCATTATAGAGTGGTTGTGTACACACACTGCCAACACACATTTCAGTTCAAACAACTTGTAAAAGTGCATGTAGCATCCGATGACCCCTATAAGGAGAAAATGTTCAGCAGTGGTGTTGGCTGATGAATTTGCACATGGTTTGTCTTTAAGTATATTAAAAACACCAGACAGACATTTAAACAACATTTAAAACTTTTCAACACATTTTCTGCTCATTTTCAACACAGGGGGTCTTTAAATAAGATTCAGAGAATACGGCCTTGCTTTGCAGCCCTTATCACATAAAGATCAGTGCAGTGCTGAAAAAGAAAATATAAGTCTTTTTATGTTAGAGAGAGAGAACCAGTTAAAGTTATCGAAGGTATATACAGTACCTCTGACCCTTTGCCTATGACCTGCTGTGTTGCAGCGGTAAAAGCAAACCTATAGGACTCATTTATATTGCTATACAACTATTTAGAAGCCATAAAACCCTGCTTCCATGAATATGCCATCTTATTTAAGATCCTCTTATACGGGGGAAGTCGTGGCCTAATGGTTAGAGAGTTGGACTCGTAATCCAAAGGTTGTGAGTTGGAGTCTTGTACCGGCAGGGATTGTAGGTGGGGGTAGTGAATGTACAGCGCTCTCTTCCACTTTCAATACCACGACTGAGGCGCCCTTGAGCAAGGCACTGAACCCCTGACTACTCCCCGGGCACGGCAGCATAAATGGCTGCCCACTGCTCCAGGTGTGTGTTCACGGTGTGTGTGTGTGTTCACTGCTGTGTTTGTGCACTTAGGATGGGTTAAATGCAGAGCACTAATTCTGAGTATTAGCCACATGTCACTTCACTTTATATTAATTTATTTTGGTTGCACTGTAGAAAGTGGGAACCTGATTTCTACCTGATTTAACCCATAAAAACTTGTTTTGTTTGTATAAATCAATGCATTTAGGTTGATTTAGTGATGTTAAATAATATTTTACACTTGAATTAAACCAGTTAAGATGCTACTATTTTTTTAACAGTGTGCATTCTACAGAATTAAGCAATGTTTTTTACCAGACCTGTTTTTCCTGCACAACTTCTGGTGTTCACACAATAGCAATCTAACACACCTGATCAACACAGTGGTCAAGTTTAACGGGCTGTTGTCATCTGATATATGTCGTGAATGCATACTTTTAAGCATGGTCTTGAATTTCCATGGTTCATCTGTTTGTCCTGTATAGTAATGAAACATGACATATTTCCCTTGAATGATTTATCTTCAGATGTTATATCTGCTCTGCACATAGGTGTGGTCTTTTTTCACCTACGACGCACCAATCCCTTTGTCAAACATTAGTGCAGGTATACCTTTAGCCTATTAGTTGGCATGGAGCAGATAAGACTGAAAAAAAATGAGGAACTGAGGAAATATTATTTGGAACAGAGGGATTCCCAATTACAGGATGAGTCATGAGCTTTAGTGAATGAAAAACGTACACCTTGTGTTATATTTATTTGTGTTTACACTTCTATCTAGTAGTCATAGTCAAGTGTCTTATCTTTGATTATATAAAATACTTTTGATATCTAAAATTACGCCCTATGATTTTACAGCGAATTGTGTAGATTGAAACTAGTGAGTAATCTAGGGATTAATATGTTGCAGTTTACTACAGAAACACTGTCTACTTATTTCTTGTACAGTGCACTGGCTAAACTACATATTTTAAAAGAGTCTGATGAGTGTAGGTGCTTACTATGAATCTTTACTAGAATGACATGGGATTACACTTCAGTTTGCCTGGTTCAATGCAGTTCCTATTGAGAAAAATCCTGTTTTACTGCTAAATTGATATTTGATTAGATAAAAAAAGCGTTAACAAAGTACAAACTATCTATTTAGATGGTTACTACTAAGCAATATCTTCTTAGTTGTATGTGTTTTCCTTATAGTTTAAAGGGTAGTTTACAAAAAGAGATATTTAAAAAATTTGTTTTTGTACATATAATGGGAGTCCAAAATTGTCTGGACCCCAGTGTTCTTCGAATTATCTATATTTCATTTGAGAATTTTCATTTATGTGTGAATTGTCCCTTTAAGTTTTAAAGGGGTCATATGATGTTGCTAAAAATAACATTATTTTAATGTCTGCATTTGTTATCGGAGAAATGACAAACAACCAGCACTACTCTACACTGCTCAAAACTCGCGTTTGAATCGTCAGTGGCAAAATCTTTAAATATAAAAAACTTACTTACAGTCTGTGAGTCAGAACAGCCAGCATTGTAGTAGGTCTTTATGCACCAAGAGCTTGTAACACTCAAAAAAATTGAAATCGCATCATATGACCCCTTTAAGGGTCTTCTCATTAAAATATTTAAAAAAAAATTATTTCTTCTTCTAAAAAAAAAAGGAGTGAGAAGTGACACAATTGTACTGTAGTTATGGAAGACATGAGTGGAAGCATGCTGGATCAGTTCAGTTTCACTGCTTAAATCTAACACGCCATGTGTGCTTGTAGGCAACTGTACTAGACTGAACTAGAATATCATCAGTGAATCATAACAGTGTGATCTCATTTCTGTTGATGGTATTTGTATGTAAAGTGCATTTGATTTTATTATATTTATTTTATTGTGTTTTTATTGCATTTATAATACATGAAATTAAATATGTTTAACCGCATTACATTTATTTAACACAGTTAACACATTTACCTAACTTTACATTAGGGATATGTTTCTTAATAGAAGTTTTTCCATTCTGAAAATTAACATTTTATGTTTCACTGTATATCCAAACATACAGAAATATATGTGTACACCTTACGTACAAATAAAAATAATTATGTTTATAGTTAATAATTAAATGAATGGTCAGCAGCATTATCATATTAAATATGTTCTTACTTTCTCACGATGCAGCATAAAGATAAATTATGTGCTAAAATGACAATCTATGCAAGTAAACGTTTTATATTAGTGATGGTTGGGTTGTCGGGCTGTTGTTTTGTCAAGTGTGTTGTGGTATACAGTGTCTCCTGTCCCCTTATGTTGGTGAGAGATAAGGCAGGCATACTGTCTTTTCTCCCTTGTCCAAACAAAAGTCACACAGAGCATTAGTAACAAACCCTGCTCTGTTAGCCTGAAATACAGCATGGTATAAAAGGTTGGACTTTTCTTCATTTATTTTATCCAACTGTCAGATGCTATATATGAATGAGCTTTTCAAAATGACATTCGTTTTGCATAGAAGAACTCAGAGTTTCAATTGAATTTGTTCAGAATAGGGAACTTGTTAAAAACTCAGTGTTTAGTTGTGTTTTTATATAGAGATGGTATAGTGTTTTGTCCTGTATGCATGGATAGTTTTCTAGCTTGTATGATAGGCAAACCTAGAAAACAGCAATAGTCAATGTCCTTCTTTAAAGACGTTAATGTATAAAGAGTGTGTCATATCTGTGTGTCATAACATTTCACCCTCATGAGTGATGAAACATGAAACACATGTTTTTTGAAGAACCTTAATTTAATTATTTCCATGTAGTGAGAGTTTATAGAGACTACGTCTGTCAAGCGCCAGAAAGGACCACCATTAAAGTTGACTATATATGACTTCTTTTATTCCAAGCCTTCTGAAGCCAGACAAGTGAAATTATTTGTTCACAAAGTGAGCTAAACTGATTGATTGTTCACACGACTTGGAATATAAAAAAATATTGAATTTTCTTTTTTCGATGCTTGACTGATATGTTCACTATTTCCTGATGTTGTATGGACAACAGCTATTGTTTAGAACATCACGTGGTTGACTAATCTTTTTCATTGTACAATCCCTGAAAAACTCCAATTCCAAAGAACTGAAAATGCAGTTTTTCCAGTGCAGTGGAATGTTGTGATATTTTTTATTTATTTTATTTTTTTATTGTTGTAGTGCTTGCACACTATGGCGCTGTGGGCGCAAATGACCCCTAAGTTACAGTACCTGCCAACTGAGACGCTGAATGAACTCTACCCAGACACATTCCCTCTGGATGTCAGGCACTATCTGGCCGGCTGGATAGAGGAACAGAGATGGTATGATGTCACTGTCACAAATTAAATGCATGCTTTTTATTTTAACGTGAATTTCACTGCAGAGATGGCAGTGTAGAAAAGCTTTATTCACAGCTAGCCATGATTAATTTATTCCATAAAGAAAGTGCCTGAAAATTAGAGAAGTGAGTAGCATTAGGCATATTCATAAATGTTTTCATACTAGCTGAAGGTAATGACTGAAAAGTAGTTTGCCCAATAGCATGCAGGCATTGTACATAATCGACCAATCGTGGCGTGTGAGAAGGTGGGATCTACAGAGAACGGTCAATGCTAATACGGTTAATACATATAATGTATGAGGACTGTAGAGAGCACAGCAATAGAGGGGGAAAAAAGCCAAAATCAGGACATTTTAGGCACTTTATAAGTCCTATCCAGGACATGTCAGGGAAAAAGAGGACATAGTAATCCCAATATGGCGGCCTCCATGAGGTTACCCCCTCTTTGTTACATAAAGAACTTTATTTACACTACTGATATGACTGGAGTCTTCATCTCATGTGAGAGTACATGATTTTAAACATTTCAAAAGTTCATTTCTTTAGGCGTAAAGGTTTTTCTTTAAGTAAAACAAATTGCAAGGCATTGTTCCATGTCAGTTTGTGACAGTTGCCAAGGATGACTCTATGCAGCAGTGCTTTAAAAATGTCATGTCTGTGTAATGTTTGATTTAGGGAGAACTTTGATGTAGACAACATGGAGCAGGAGCCTCAGGCCCGAAGGCTGTTGGATCAGATGGTGCATTTGCTGCAGGAGGTGGCCCAACACAATCCTAACGTGGTGGAGAGGGTCAAACTACAACATATCAGCCGGAACTTGGTGTGCACAACGAATATTCCTAATCCTTATGATTTTTGCTGGTTTAAAGCTAATGTAACATATAAAACCAATTAAAATAATGACTTTTAAAGCAGGGTTTTTAAAGTGGGGTGCAAGAGGTTTTATGGGGTCCATTATTGTGTAAATTTAAATGGAATTGATCAAGTTTCTCTTCGGGTTTATGTATCTAACATTTCTAACATTAAAAATGAGTGGAAAAAGTTATAAACCAGACAAAATGGATATTTTTTGTATTTAATAATTTGCTTTGGGTTCAGTACAGTAACAATATAAAAGCTCATTATTTAATTTAAAAGCAACAAGAATTCTACTATGTCTATATGATCTGTGTCTATATGATCTATATGTGGGATGTTTAGGACTGTTGTTTTACTACAATGCAATAAGGATTGGTTTTTGGTTTTCAAATTAAGAGTCATTGTATATTTTCTGTTATATGACCTCATCTTGAGTTACATTTCTTGTGCATTGTGAACACATATGAATCCCTTCCATACTTTTAGATTTCTTTATTTATTACTCGTGGCAGCCTGCCATGTTGACTCATGTTGTGACAAAGCACACTGTTTGTATTTCTGACTATTTGCTATGTAACCTCATGTAACTGCTTTTCAGAGTGTGTTCCAGCAACAACCCATGCAACTTGTGAGGACAGTTCGAGATATTCTAAGGAAAGAAAGTCATTTATTAGCACAGGTTGTATGCATAAAACCCTTTTTCTGCAGTATTTTTAATTTGTTAGGAAAATGCAACAGCAATCTTAACTTTATAGGTTAATGTAAATGTCCAGTATGTCATTGCTTTTGGTGTTTGTGTGCTTGTTTGTAGGGTTTGCACCACAACTTCCCACCCTTCCAGCAAATTCCTCAGGATCCTCTAGCTACCAATGGCACCCCACAACCTGCAAGGGAGGATGGTAAGACTGATGTGGACAAGCTGGTGCTCAAAGTTCTGGAAATTCAGAGCTGCCGCCAAACACTTCATCAGCTTCAAGAGGATTTGAACTGGGAAAAACAGGAAATGGAGTCGATTCAAGGTAAGAGATCTAAATTGTTTTTTAATATCAGTAAGACTGGAGTATTACAGGGATTAAAGTTCCGTCACTACGATGGATTTCCGTCAGTTCATAAAGAACGAATCAATTGAATGAATGATTCAGTGATAAAATCAGTGACTTGCCCCCACCTGCTGGCTTATTTAGTTTCATTTTTAGCGTATAATTTCAGTTATTTGAATCATATTTCTGTATTCAAAATTTTAAATTTAAAACATTATTCTCCACATGAATTTATGAATTTAATTGCACTCATGCCACCTCTGAGCCTCATTAAATGTCTGAAAATGTCTTAAACTGGGTGTGTGACAGGTATGGCCGAGGAATGGGGTTGGTCGAAGAAAAATTTTCAGTCAAAAGATTTTTTTTTGCTTTAAAGGGGTCATATGATGCTTTTTTAAAGATCATTATTTTGTGTATTTGGTGTAA